CACCACCTGTCAGAATGGCTATTATCAACTAGACAAGTAATAACAAGTGTAAGAAAGGTTGTGGAGAAACCTCTCATTCACTCCTGGCATGAATGTAAATTGGTACAACCAGTATAGAGGCTTATTTTAAAAATCCTATTTGGGGTTTCTACCTGACAGTTTGGAAATATTTATTCACAAAGATATGTGCTGTAATAATTTAAAGCAAATTTTTATATAAAAACTTGAGTTTCTATAACTTTCTCTTGATTCAATATGAAAGAACTTTTTACTGAGGTGTAATGGACATATAACATTATATTAGTTTCAGGTGTACAACAAAATAATTCCATATTTGTATATATTGCAAAATGATTATCACAATAAGTCTAATTAACATCTATCCTTATGCATAATTACAAAATATTTTTCTTATGATAAGGACTTTTAAGATTCACTCAGCTACTTTAAGATATGCAATACAATATTATTAACTGTAGTCATTTATTTCACCCTTTAAAACTCTTTAGATGCTGTACTTTAGTTATTTATTCTTTATTATTAATATTGTTAAGAGGACTGGGAGTTGTTTGATTTATCCCATTTTTTTGAGTAGTGTATTATGATTACCTTCATACTTAAAGATTATTTTATTCGGTAAAAAAAGAAGGACTTTCTACTATTTGCAACAACATAGATGGAACTGGAGAGCATTATGCTAAATGAAATCAGTCAGTCAGAGAAAGATAAAAATCACATGATCTCACTCATCTATGGGAAATAATGAACAACATAAACTGATGAACAAAAACATTCCCAGAGACAGGGAAGCATTGATCAGACTGTCACACCTCAGAGGGAAGGTAGGGGAGGGTGGGGATAAGGGGGAGAGATCAACCAAAGGACTTGTATGCATGCAAAAAAAGCCTAAGCAATGGACACAGACAACAGGGGGGTTAGGGCATAAGTCGGGGAGGGAGGGAGATAATGGGGGAGATGAGGACAAATATGTAATACCTTAATCAATAAAGAAATTAAAATGCAAAAAAAGAGATTATTTTATTAACCTTACAAATGAAAATTTTCCTCTAGGGTCTGGGGACTTCTTTTTATCTATTTTTGTCTAAAACACAGTGAAAGTTTTAAATCTAAACATTTGAGGTTTTGTTGCTGTTAAAAAATATTTTATAGCTTTGATAATCCCTCTGTTTTGATTGCTTTGACTTATCCCAGAAGGAAGTAAGGAAAGAAATGAAAGTGTGGTTTAGTGAATATAGCTGTTTAAAATGTGCATTCAATTTAATTATGTAATCCCTCTTGGGTGGGGAGGGGTGGGCACTCAGCTCTCTCTGGATTCTGCAGTAGTCCATATTAATTACCTTTATACATAGAGTCAGGTGCTGATACAGGGGAGAAACCTAGGCATCAGAGGAAGACAGTATCACATGATCTCACTTATATCTGGAATCAAATGAACAAAATAAACTGATGAACAAAATAGATATATAGAAGCATGAAACAGACTGACAATTCTCAGAGGGAATGTGGGAGGGGAGAGATTAACCAAAGAATTTATATGCATTTATGCATAACCCATGGACACAGACAATAGTGCCCTGAAGGCCTGGGAAGGGAGCACAGGAGTGGGGTGGAGGGGTCAATGTGGGAAACAGGGGAACACCTATAATACTTTCAATAATAAAGATAAATAAAAAATATAGAAATAATTTTAATTACATAATTTTATTTATTTTTAAAGTAGCAAAAAACACTAGGAAAAAACAGCTAATGTTACAACACCTTTTATTTATTATCAGTATGAAAGTCTTTTTTATTTATTATTATAATAATAGAAGGACTTAAAAGTATTGGATGGAGTAAAGATCTCCTAATTATGTGTTTCTAGAACAGATTTGCAATAATAAATTTTTTTACATATCATGGGAAAATCATTCCTCACCTTTTATACATTAGTTTTACATTTTGAAAGGTAAGAATTTTAGATTATATCAGAAACTTTAAATTTTCATGTGCCATGCATTTTAAATTTTTTTAAAATATATTTTATTGATTTTGTACAGATAAGAAGGGAGAGAGATAGAGAGTTAGAAACATCGATGAAAGAGAGTCATCGATCAGCTACCTTTTGCACACCCCCTACTGGGGATATGCCTAGGGTACATGCCCTTGACCGGAATCGAACCCGGGACCCTTCAGTCCCCAAGCCGACGCTCTATTCATTGAGCCAAACCACTTTCGGCAAGCCATGCACTTTAAAAATCCTGATGAAAGATCTAGTTCTTTCCTATGGAACAAATGTTTGTAAATGTGTGGCCCAAACACACAGAATTTGTGTATGATTTCACAGCCCTCAAAATTAATAATTAGACTTTGAAAGCTATTTTTTCAATCTACTGTCTTTATAATGCTTTCAGTTATTAAAGTAAACTTTCATCGTGATTGAGAAGCTGCTGCTGCTATCTAGTGGCAAAGTTTAAAATCATTTTTAGGAACTATTACAGTGTTTTTTCACTAGGGTTGCTGCCTAGCCTTTATTTGAACACATTCTATATTTGCTGAAACCATATTAACAGGTGATGACTAAAGAGTAAAGTGAGGAGAAAATACATTTCATGAAGAATGTGAAAATGTGTATGTCACAGATACTGAAAGCACATATTATAAAACATACTTTGGCCCCCATGTTCTAAAATAACATTAAATATTTAAAACTAATATTTATAGAGCAAGAATATTGTTTTAATCCTCACCTGAGGACATGTTTGTTTAACATGAGAAAGAGGAAAGGAGATGAGAGGGAGAGAGAGAGAGAAGAAATACCTTTGCTAGAGAGAAACATCCATCAGTGGCTTCCCCTATACACTCTGACTGGGGATCAAACCCACCACTTGGGTATGTGCCCTGCCCAGGAATCAAACTTGCAACTTTTTGGTACATGGAACAATTCTCAACAAACTGAGCCATACTGGCCAGGGCAAAACTAAATTTTTAAGAATTGAGGATATAAGGTCATTTTGAAGGAATCTTTATTAACACAAAGTTGAAGAAACAATATTAGCCTTAAAAATTAATGATTAGCATTTTGAACACAAGTCATTACCCAATACAGACACCAAAACTAATGCATGGTGAAATAAACAAAACAGACCAAAAAAAGTTTAGAGCATTAGAGATTATTTATAAACTTCAAAGTCAGTGAACTAATATGAAATGTCTTTTAAGGAAGAACTTCAAAGAGAAGATAGAGTGTAGATCTTAAAGAGTTTTATAAGTGTAAAAGAATATGGCCCATATCTTCATTTACTAGATTTATTGCAATGTTCAAGGGGGGGAAAAGCACAGAACTATGGTTGAAAGAATATGTGCCTGGAAAAGTTAAACTGTGAGACAAATTATGAGATCCTGGGCAACCCATTGACTCTGTGGCTGTCCAGGTCATCTTCCATGAAAAGGAATTTATGCCCTGTGTATGATACAAAAATTAATAATTAAAGTAATAACGTATTTTTATTAAATATTTATAACCCATTCTTCACGTAACATGCACTATGTATGTAATTGTAGTGGCAAAATACCAATTAGTTATAACTATAAGCAGAGATTATCTATCTATACTAATAAAAGGGTAATATGCTAATTAGACTGAGATATCTTCTTGATACCTTTTGGACAAAGCCATGGTGGTGGGGCCAAGGGAAATGTGGTTAGGGGTGATCAGGTCAGCAGAGGGTGGACAGTTGGGGACAAGTAAGCTGGCAGGGGTGCAGTTGGGGGTAATCAGGATGACAGAGTGGGGCCATTGGGTGTGAGCAGGCCTGCAGAGGGGAAGTTGGGGGTGAGAAGGTCCGTAGGGGAGCAATTGAGGGTGAGGCAAGCCATCAGGTAGAGTGGTTAGGGGTGATCAGGCAGGCAGGCAGGTGAGCATACACAAGCCAGTGATCCCAGATTGTGAGAAGGATGTCCGACTGCCAGTTTAGGCCTGATCCCTGCGGGCAGTCGGACATCCCCAGAGGAGTCCCAGATTGGAGAGGGTGCAGGCCGGGCTGTGCTACTGGGAGTGCTACTCAGCTGACCAAGATGAATGGGCCAGGATGAGCTGAGCGGCTCCTCCCCAGATCCCTGCAGACCATGCCTAGGGACCCAATGGGTGCATGAACCTAGTAGGGGATATAAAAGGTCTTTGTAAAATGTCTACTCCAATAACAGAGGCAGTATTAGAGAATTCAATCATTACACACTTCCTGAATAATTCACTCTTTTTCATTATTGTTATTAATATACAATTGACATGTAGCATTGTATTAATCCACAGCATACAACATGATTATATATATATATATATATATATATATATATTGCGAAATGATTGCCAAAACACATGTAGTTAACATCTGTTACCTCACATAGTTGCAATTTTTTTCTTGTGATGAGAAATGTTAAGATCTAATCTCTTAGCAACTTATGAATATGCAATACAGTATTGTTAAATATAGTCACCAAGCTGTACATTACATTCCCAGAGCTTATATATCATGTAGTGGAAGTCTTTACCTTTTGGCATAATACACTTTTTAAGTTTATGTTTAAAAGTCAAGGACAAGTTTACAGACAATTGATGGATCTCAACAACTTGTAAAGCAAAACGGAAGTATTATTAAGTCACTGGTTATGATTATAGCATGTAGAATTTAACGAAGAACTTCTTTCCTACTCACAAAACTTGAGAATAGTTTTAAAATTTTGGAGTTCAATAATCCTCAATTTAAAGCTCTCCTATTCATTCCTGCTGAATGAGGAAATCAAATTGAAAAAAATATATATAACCTAAAGACATATGACTTGTCAATTGTCAACAGGATAACTTGTCAATTACATAGAATAATACAGAGTGGTTCTCAACACAAAAATAGGACTTCCAACACCCAGACCATGTTTTTCCTTATTGCATGTAGATTAGTTGTCAATCTGTAGGACAAATGGTATTGTAGTTTATCCGCTCATCAGGAATTTCTTCCTTTCAAACGTCCTTCTGAATGAATCCTTGACTTCCTTGTTTCTCAGGCTGTAGATAAGTGGATTTAACATGGGAATCATAGCTGTATAAAACACAGACACCACTTTATTGATGTCCAGGGAGAGGCCAGAACTCGGACATACATAGATAAAGAAGAGTGTCCCATACAGGATGGAGACAGCTGTCAGGTGAGAAGAGCAAGTGGAGAAAGCTTTGAACCTTCCATCAGCAGAGCGGATCTTCAGGATAGTGATGATGATGTATATGTAGGAGACCAAGATAATCATGCCACTGAGTACTCCTAGGGCTCCAGCCAAGATGAAAAGCAAGAATTTATTGACCTGCGTGTCTGCACATGCCAAAGAAAGAATCGGGAGGAGATCACAGAAGAAGTGATTGATGATTTTTGGACCACAATAAGGTAGGCGAAAGGCCAATGTGGTATGGGTCATGGCACTTATAAGACCCATGGTATATGGCCCTATCACCAGCTGCACACAGACCTGCTGGGACATAATGAGTGTATACAACAAGGGTTTACAAATAGCCACGTATCGATCATATGCCATGGAAGCCAGGAGGAAACACTCAGTCACTAAAAATTGACAAAAAAACCATAACTGGGCAGCACAACCAAAGAAAGAGATTACTTTTGTCTCCGCAAAGATGTCAGTCAACATCTTGGGACTGATGATAGAAGAGGAGCACACGTCCACAAAGGACAAGTGGCTGAGAAAAAAGTACATAGGGGTGTGGAGTCGGGAGTCTATCCAAATGAGGGTGATCATCCCCAAGTTTCCCAGAAAAGTGACAAGATAAACCAAGAGAAATATCACAAAGAGTACAACCTGGTGCTGGAAATGATTGGTTAAGCCCATGAAAAAAAACTCAATCACCAAAGTCTGATTTTCATCATCCATTTCTCTGACTTAATCTGGAATAAAGAAATAGAAATTTTTTTTCTTTACAATCATTTGGTAATTGAGGACTTCTCATTTTTTAATCTGAATTTAACTTCTATTTTTCTACATTTCATAAATTACATTGACAAATAATACTCATGTTCTACCCTAGTGATTGTCATACCTCCCTACTCTTTGTGTGATACTAAGTCACTGAATTTCACAGGGCTCCTCAGTTTTCTTCTTGATCAAAATAGGATTGTGGAAGAGAATTATAAAATTTTAGACCAGAAGTGATCTTTGGAGATTATCTAAGGTAAACTTAGATAACCTCTAAATGTATGAGGTTATATTTCTAAAAATCCCTGACTTTGAACCAAGGTTATCTTAAAAACATTTCATAGAAAAAAAGTATCATGTGAATTTGATTAATTAAGACTAATACTCTCACAGGTGTTAGGAATATAGCTTCCTCATCTATTTTAGATTCTAGAAAAATTATCAGTTGTGTTGTCAAAAACATAACTTCTGGTGTCTAAAAAATGGAACACAAGAGAAGCTGGCTTTGGAAAATGATAAAAGTTCTCAACAATATCTCCCTGTGATGCTTTCCATTATATATATAAATTGTAGAGATGGAAAACAGGTTATTTGTTGCCTTGTGATTAGGAATGGTGGGAAATAGGGTAGTGGTGTGACTATAACAGAGTAGCACAAGGAAGATCTCTGTGGAGATGAAATTATATCTTGAATGTGGTGGTGATAATACAACTCTACACACATAATAAAATTATATAGAGCTATAAACATATGTCATATTGATGTCAATTTCTTATTTTTCATGTTGTACAGTTGTTGGGGAAAACTGAGTGAAGAGTACAAGGGACCCAGAAATTTGTATTTATTAAAAATAAAAATAAAATTGTGAGAAAAAATAGATGTGATGTGAGAAAAGAGAAATTGACAATAGTACAAAAAAGGAAAATTGAGGAAGGGAGCCATACATTTCGGACCTTGAAATAATTATAACTATTCCAACAGCATAATCACACAAAATATGAGCAGGGTGTTCAGCAGCAGAACTATTACAGAAATCTAACAATATTATCTTCCAAGAAAGCTTGAAATGACTTTGGTTAACAAAAAAAAATTAATTAAATACAAATTTTCTGACCTGCTGTGGTCTCAGGCAATGGAGCTTAGAAAGAAAAGCTTCAATGGGGTAAAGTGTATTGTCAGAAACTATACTTTAATAGTGAAATGTTTCAAGAATTCAAAAGTTTCTAAACATAGAAACTCATTTCAAGTCCTTTATATTTTATTCATGAGTCATGGTAGATAGAAGCAAAACATTTTGAGTGTCACAATAAATTTAGGTTATTAAAAACATTATGAGGATGAAACTAGAGTATACCCATCCATGGTCTCAATCAACTGAAACTATTGTGTGAAACCAATAATTTCTGGCTGTCAAAATGTATACTGCTTTATTTTTCCTAATCTTACCCAATCCAAAGAGTCTAATATTTTTTTTAAAAATCAGGATTATAGGTATGCATGTGACTCTGGGCATGAGCAGCAGAGAATTCAAGTCAGCTGATTGATAGGTTTATTTCCTACTTATAATAACCAATCTTGGTGAAAAAATTAAGACCCAGATAAGTCAAAGATTTTTAATAATAACATTCAATGAGCCCATAAATCTTGCAACACATTTCAGTATGTTTATACCAAAGGCAAAATTCAACCAAAATATACATTCAAGTAAAGTCATTTAAATCAAATGACACAGACTAACTATTCTATAATATTTATACTAACATTTCCTTCTTGGTAGGCTCAGAGATTATGTTTTCTTGGGCTTCTAAATTTATTTTTCATATTTAGCCTCCTAAACACAATTTAGGAAATCACTTCACTCACCTGTCTGAAGAAACATGCCCTGGACTTTGCCTGCTTATGTCAAAGTGAATGACAAAATTAATATTTTGTGATATTAAAATGAATTACCCTGCAAATGTAGACTTGTCATTCTTCTCAGTTTCTTCAGGTGTCTAGGAAGATAAACAATACAATAATACCATCTTGAAACCTGGGCCTTCCAACAGCACTTTAAAAAAGTGTTCATTGACTCCATTCTGAACAACATACAACAGGGTTTTTCTAAAGGACTGTATGTGAATTGGAGCTAAGTCCCTCAAGGAGCTGGAAGCTCAGGGGATAAGTCTTAGAGAGAAAATCTTAAAGTGTTTAATGAGAAAATAATTTGGGGACTTTGAGTCAAGTGTAATTGCACAAAACAAAACTGTATCCTCCTTTGAGACCACCCCCACACATACACACATACACACATACACATACTTTGAAATTCCAGTTGAGCCTTTAGTTGCTGCATAATGAGCAATGTGTAGATTTGAGAATCTAAAACAGAGCTCTGCATCCCAGCCAGGTGTGGCTCAGCAGTTGAGCATCAACCCAGGAACCAAGATCACTGGTTCAATTACCAGTCAGGGCACATGCCCTGATTGTGGGCTTTATCCCTAGTGAGGGACATGCAGGAGGCAGCTAACCAATGATTCCCTCTCATCATTGATGTTTCCATCTCTCTCTCCCTCTCCCTTCCTCTCTGCAATCGTTAAAAATATATTTTTAAAAATAAAATAAAATAAAGTCCTGCTCCAGAGAGGAAGGATCAAAGAATTAAATATAATAATTATATTTAATAATATAATTATAGGTAACTGGGTACACAAAAGCACTGAATACCCTCTGATTGGCTCATAAGCTACTGGGAAGGTTGGATCATTATAACCAGGGGGTTGTAAATAGGGTCTGGGACAAATGGAAAATAAGATAAATTTAATGGAAAATGGAAAATAAGATAAATTTAAATAAAAATAAGGTTGACTAGAAAAATAATGGTGTCTATGAAGCAATGGAGAGCTCTAAATTCAGACAGATTCTTTGAGAGACAAAATAATCCACATTGGCTCCCTCCAAATTTCAAATAGAAAAGGGGGGAAATAATTTGGGCTCAAATTTCATAAGTATTTTAATATTATACAAAGAAGTTTTGATTTATTTCTGTAAACAACAATGACTCAAAGTATTTTAGAAAGCAGATGACATCTATTCATATAAATGTTGCTACAGGACATTAATCTTACTACTGGAGATGCTTATTTTTCAAGGTGCTATGAGAATACTTACTCATTTGAAATCTCATATGAGCCCAATAAGTGGATTAATAAAAAAGAACCAACCTCTGAGCACAGTCACCTTTCTAATCTTGGAAAAAGTAAAGCAGAATTCTATGATTATCTCCAGAAGTTCCCTCCAAAACAAAGCATAAACATCTAACATTCTTTTGATAATTAGCTGCACAACATTTCATGAAAGAATTTGTGTTTCTCCTAATAATGTAGGTTCAGGTTGTTTCCTTCTATTTCCTCTACAAAATATGCTGATATTAATATTTTCATGGCATAGATTGCCAAATTTAAGGCAGATAAGTCAAAGATAATGTGCATTTTAAGATAAATCATCAAATTACAAATTGTGTTATAGAAATGTAGCTAGTTACACCTAGTTACACTAGATATGGATAAAATTGTAGTTTTTATCCAAATGGTAACCTTACTAAGCCTTGAATGTAATCATATTCATGTTTGCCAATCTAACAGATGGGGAGAGGGAGAGAACAGCATTGCCTTATCATTTTGATTTCATTTACTCAAGCAATTGTGAAGTTGAGTTATATAACATTTTAATATATAATATAATTACATATTATATATTAAACTTAAAACCATTTGCATTTCCAATTGTATCAAATAACCATTCATTTCTTGGTTTATTTCTCAACTGTATTTCATTTTACTATTGTGTTTCATATATATACTGGAGTCCCAGTGCACAAAATTTGTGCACTTATGGGGAGGGGCCTCAGCCCAGCCTGTGCCCTCTCCCAGTCTGGGAGCCTTCAGGGGAAGTCTGACTGCTGTAATAGTGTGAGAGGCTCCCACTGCTGCTGTGTTTGCCTGCCATGAGCCCAGCTTCTGGTTGAGCGGCACTCCACCTGTGGGAACACACTGACCACCAGGTGGCAGCTCCTGCATTGAGTGTATGCCCCCTGGTAGTCAGTGCATATCCTAGCCACTGGTTGTTGCTCCATTAGGTCGATGTACATATTAGTCTTTTATTATATAGGATTCCAACACTTTCCTATTGAGACATTAACTCATTGTGAGTCACTTGTGTTACAACTGCTCTCTCACTTTCTATTGTTCAACATTTAATAAGGTCTATGAAACATTTCTTAATGAACTTTGTTGATCTTTCCCTTATAACATTTACTTTTCTGGTCTGGAATAAAATATCTTTCCACATGTAAGAATATATAAAAGTTCTCCTGGATTTTCTTCTGGCATAAATTACATTTTCTTTTTTATTCTGCATCATTTCACAAAAGAGAAGACTGATGTGAAAGCAATATAAATAGTACTTTAGTATACAAGTAACCTGGTAATGGGCAAGAATTTTCTAATCCTCTAAATTACCACCAATTACTGAATCACATTATTCTATTTTTCTTTCAAACTTGCTCCAGAATATACTTTTCACCTCCTTGTTCCTCACACTATAGATGAGGGGGTTCAGCATGGGGATGACCACAGTATAAAATAGAGAAATCACTTTATTGGTATCTAGGGAGGAACCTGACTCAGGAAGAACATAGACAGAGAAAAGAGTCCCATATAGGATGCAGATGGCTATCAGGTGAGAAGAACAAGTGGAGAAAGCTTTCTGCTTTCCATCAGCAGTCTGGATCTTCAGGATGGCCACCAGGATGTATACATAGGAGATGGTGATGATCATGCCACTGAACAACACAATAGCGCCAGGCATGATGAAAAGAACCAACCTATTGTTCTGGGTGTCAGCACATGCCAGGGAGAGAACAGGGAGAATGTCACAGAAGAAGTGGTTGACCACATTTGGACCACAGAAAGGTAAGC